ATTAAAATATTAATATTATCAATAATAATATTTTTTTTTAAATAAATTCATTAAATAATTTTCTAAATTTAAAATATTAAATAACTTCATTTTAATACTATAGCATTGTTAAATAATTTTATTAGAAAAAAATTATATAATTAGACTGTATTTTATAAATGCAGAAATCATTTAATAAATAAAAATATCAAAAAATATTATTAAAAAATAAAAAGGTACCCAATCATTGAATTTATTATAAAATTTATATTAAATACTGATACAAATAATATAAAAGCAAATTATCACTATAGAAAAGAAAATGAGATAAATCAAATACTTTAATATTCTATTATTATATTTATAGATACTTTCTATAAAAATAATGAATAAGTTAATACTTAATAATGATAAAAAATTAGCTAATAATATTAAGACAGTTTTTAAATCATAAAACAGAATAGAATTAACAGTAATAAGAATAACATATTTTACATATTATTAAGTTATTCTATAAGGTTTACTTAAAAATTAATTAAAAAGAATAAATATTTAAATTAATTCATGAAAACTTATAACTTAAACGATTCTATTTGATTTTAAAAAGTTTTACATTATAGATATATTTTCCTAATTATGTAAAATAAAATTATTAATTGTTTGAAGTGAAAAATTATTTTTAGTAAATAGAATTGATTCAACTTTTTATTTCTAATGTTATTCTAATGTACTAAGTTTTACATTTCTTTTATAATCTAATTTGCTGCTAAAATTTGATTTTTCTTCATAGTTATTTTAATTTGTTTATTATTTATTTCTTTATTAGCTTACTTAAGTTAATAATATTTTTCTTTTAACTAAGGTATTTTTTTAAGGATCAGCCTGAGTATTTTCCGGATTTTAAATTTCATCCTAATCATTTTAAGGTTATATAACATCTTCTTAGATATTTTATTATAAATCAACTTTAGATTATTTTTAAGAAGATAATTTAATAATCTTGCGTTTAACAAATTTATCTATCTTATCTTCTGTTATCGATAGATCGTCTCCTTTTTATTAATTTTCAAATATTGGCCTATTACTATATATCGGATTAGATTAAACATGTATTGGTATTATTTTTTATATTTTCTCTTGTAATTTTTAAGATTATTACTATTTTTAAATCAAAGAACCTTTAATTGATTATATATCGTTGCTTTAATTTTTTATTAAAATGTTTTAATATTATGATTAAATTATGGCTTGGGATTCAAATTACTAATTACTCTAACTAAATTCTTTGTTTGTTTTTAATTCAGCAAAAGTAGCTAAATTATATTTAAAAAATTAAATTAAAAAAGTATATTAGTAATAAAAAAAAAAATATTTTGTAATTATAAATAATATTTGTTTTAAAAATACTTTATTTTTAATTGGAAGCTTTCATATGATTTTAAGTTTGTATTTTAATAGTTTATTCTCCGTTTTTAAAAATATTATCAAATTATTTATTTCTTTCTTCATCATTAATATACTTATTAAAAATAATTTCTTAGATTTAATTTTTTTTTATTATGCTTTATTCCATTTATTAGTTTTGAATATTATCGATTTATTATAAATATATAAATGACATTATATAAATTATAGTAGTAGCAACTAAAGTCCACACAGAAGCATACAAATACCAATAATTCATCCGATTCGCTTTAAATATCTACTATATGTCATTAACAAGAGTTTATTTTCCTTATGTTTTACATTAACATACAAATTAATAAATTTGATTTTAGTCATTAGTTTAATATAAAAGTATGCAATCTTTAGAAATCCATTTGCCTTAAATATTTTATAAGCAAATATAATTACCAGCATTATCTACAGCTTCAGATAAATTGTAAATGTTGAATAAAGGAATATCAAGTTGTATTTATTATTAATTAGATTCAAAAGTTATTAATTTTTCATTTATAGTAAAAGAGATGATTTTTTGGGTAAGAGGAAATTATCATCATAAGCTATTACAGAAGAAGAGATATTTTAAATAATTTACGTAGTATTATAGAATTTCTTAGTTTTGTTCTATATTTATACTCTCATTTTATTTATCTGATATTTTTATCAAATAATTTTCTTTTAAAACTCTATGTGTTGTTGCTTGAGTTTTAATTATATTTAGAACTTATATAGGATTTTCGTTTATAATCATACACATATTCAAAGTTTACGATATTATTTTCATTATTTACATGTATTATTTATCTAATAATGAATTTTATTAACGATTAAATGATCCTCTATCTCCTTAAAAAATATTTTAAATTATTTATGCTTATAATGTAAGAATTTATACTGATTAAAAATATTTTTCGAATTATGTTATGTCAGAAATTACTATTTTTTTAATATATGTTTATTAATTAGTTATTATTTATTCAATATTATTAATAAATTGTTGTATTTTATCAAATCCTAATTATGATAATATTTAATTCAGAATGTTACTAAATATTTAATTTAATGTTATTTATATTTATAGAAAATAGGTAAAAAAGTCATTTTATTATTAAAAATAGTTTTACAAATTCAGAACTTCATTTAAAATATCAATATATAATTATATAAACTAAGAATCAGTTTGCAATGATAAGACGCTCATATGATTGATAATATCATAAATAATCATGTTATATTAAATTATTTTATTTTAATTTAAATAATCTTATTATGCCTAAGTAAACCAATCATTTATAAATATGTAATATGAAGAACTATCTTAAGTATATTGGTTTACTGTAATTTATTAAGTTATGTTTCTTATTCCTCCTTTCGAATCTTATATTACTGCCATAATTAAGGACGCACCAAAAGGTAAAACAGTTTCAATCTTATTATTTGGTGAGAAATCAGATAACAATTACCTATTAACATATTATGCATTTAATAATTCATTATTATAATCATCTTAATTTTTATAAAAATAGAAAGAATAAGACAAAGGTTAATCAGTATCAATACATCCGTTTATTTATAGAATTTATTTATCTTACATATTTCTAACTTCAAATCCTGCAGCTTAATCAAAAGTACAATCTTATGGAGGTATATTAGCATTTAAAGAATAAGAAATTAATGTTGGTATTATAAAATTTGGATTTCTTACTGAAAATTTTAATTCAAATTAATTTTAATTTTAAAAGTCGAAGAACAATTCCCAAGTTTAAAATCTAAATTAATTATATTTTAAATATATCAATTTTACTTATTAATTTTAATATAAAATAGCCCCTGTAATTATTAAGTCATCAACATTTGTATCTTCAGGACAATCAAATTAAGTAAATATTTCTTAATTTAAATTTATTGTATTTTAAGAATTATTAATAGAAATAGTAGGATTAACAGGAGGTATATTATAATCAACCATTAATATTGTTATCTAATCAAACGCGGTTACTCCATCTTTTGTTCCTGATAATTTAAATTAGTATTATTAATAAGGCTATAAAACATTCTTTTATATACTAATTTATAAGTTCTATTTAATTGGAGAAACAATTAAATTATTTGAAGAATCTTTACAATCATTTCCAGTACTGAGGTTTATACATTACCAGTTTATAGATATTCCACAATTAGTTGATTTTAATAAATCTTTTTCACTTGGGGATAAATTAGGATCATCTACTATCGCTTGTATATCAAAACTTTAAGAAAAATATTATTATCTATTTCCTCCTAAAATTTAAACTAAAGGAGATTGAGAAAGAACTTTTATTGATAATAATATTTATTGAGTAATTGCAGGATTAAATTATAAAGAAGCAGTAATTAGTATATTATATATTGTACTCGTTTTCATGATAAAAGGTTAGATTTAAAATTACAACTAATTTCCTTAAATTTATTATATGGAATCGATTTTTAATGATTCAGTTAAATTGTCATTTTATTTTATTAATACATTATAAACATTTTCTTAATGATAATATATTTTTCCATCATCTTCACATTACAAAAGATTAAAATTCAAACTCACATTCACTAAACTACTTCTATAAATTTGATTTGGATTTATATTTGCATTTATGTCAATCGATGTATCTGCTAAAGTTTCTATTATTGTGTTTGCAGTTGCTGCTTGACCAAACTCGGTAGCTACATATACTTAAAATTAGTATTATCCTTATTTTTTAAGTTATAATGGTGGTATTTCTAACAATAATTAGTTATTTTATTATTAGATAAATTTATTTATTTAAGTTATTTCATTTGCCGTATTTACATTAGAAGAAATGAGTGTCCAAGTAATTTATTTTAACTTTCTATTTCCAGAATTAGAAATACTAGATATTCTTATTTATGCTTATTAACATATCGAAATAGGACTTGTTTAGGTTAACTCAATAACTGGATTAGTGTCTAAAATTACTTTTCCAGTTATTTATTAAAGAAAATCAGGGCAATCAAAGCCATTATTTGTTAGTTGAATACACCAGGTTTATTTTATGTATCATCTTATTAACAGTACTTACAGAATCAAGTTTAATTGTAAGTGTTTTTAAATATTTATCAAAAGAACACAAAATATTTCCTTATAATTTAGAAGAAATAAAGGCTTAATCCAATGTTTCAATGCAAAGCTAATTAGTAAATTATATTTAAGAAGAATAACTTTAAAAATCTAAATTTGTGAGAATAAGATTAATTTAAAAATTAGTAAAATAATTATCAAAATCTATAATTAAAAACAATAAATCATCACTAAAATGCATTTTAGTCATTATACTTAAGCATGAATCACATTATCCATTTGAGTTTAATTAAAAATAATAAGGAGTTATACATGTAAGACATTCAGTTGCATTGCATGTAGCACATCCAGTTGAAAAAGTAGAACACATAGTACAAGCTTAATTGAAAGCATTAGGATCATATGAATATTAAGGACAATTACATTATTAAGGAACTCTATTCTCAAAGCAAGTGTCACAAGTATTGTCATTAGAACAAGTTACACATTTAGCTTAGCAAGCTGTACATTATCTGGTTGCCGTGTTTCCCCACTTACCTGAAGGACAAACATTTAAACATGTATTATCATTTAAAAAACGTGGCGCTAGACATTCTTAGCAAGTCCTATCATTACAAGTAGAACATCCATCAGATATATTAGAACATGCAAAACAAGCTTATTAATAATCCTAATTATCGTAATGATAAATAGGACATCCACAACCAGGTGTAACTCTATTCGAAAAGCAAGTATCACAATCAGTAGCATTAGAGCAGGTTTCACATTTAGCTAAACAATCTGTACATTATTTATTTGCCGTATTTCCCCATTTGCCTGCAGGACAATTAATTAAACATGAATTTTCATTTAAAAAACGTGGCGCTAGACATACTTAGCAAGTCCTATCATCACAAGTAGAGCATCCATCAGATATATCAGAACATGCAAAACAAGCTTATTAGTAATTCAAATTATCATAATTATGAGCAGGACATCCACAACCAGGTAATTCTCTATTCAAAAAGCAACTGTCACAATCAGTTGCATTAGAACAAGTTTTACATTTAATATTACAATCATTACAAGTTCTTTTTATATTATCTACATATTTATTATTTGGACAGGCCGAAACACATTAAAAATCATTATACAAAAATCCACTTTTGCATAAATCACAAGAAGTCCCATTACTACATTATTCGCATTGTGAAATACAGTTAGAACAATTTCCTCCTTCTAAATACTTGCCTTTAAAACAAGAACTACAAGATAAAGAGTCAGTACATTAAGCACATTAAGGCATGCATTCATCAGCTAAAATTTAAAATTCATATATACCAAAAGATTCATTAGAAGCCAATTCATCTAAGTTATTACTAAATTCAATCTCATATCTGTTTCATTAGTTTAATAAGTTATTATGACATGTGAAGATAGTCACCCTTT